GACAGGTAATATGTTGGTAAAACACTTCCAAATGAAGTGTTTCACCTTGCTCATCACTTTGAGATTCCAACATCTTGCTCTAGCTTTCCTGTTCCCCTCAGCCATCATACTACTTTCAGCCACAGCATTTGCAGTAGAGTTTCCAGCAGCCAAATAGGAGTAAGCTTTCTTGACTGAAAAGTTTTTTGTAGCCACAAAAGAGCAATTCCACATGTCAGCTTTCCTTGGATTTAGGTTCTTGATTTGCAGGATTTTTTCAGCATCCTCAGCAATGAACAATGCCTTAACCAAGTTAGGGTCCCAATTACATCCTCCTGCAATTAATAAGTCCTTAACCAAGAACATATGGTCATCAATAAGAATTCTGAGCTGAGGTTTTCTACCTCCCAAACCAGGAACCCAGCAGTGATCAGTCAACTTAGTATGAGCCCCATTTTTTATAATAATGTTCAGTTGAGATTTAAGGACAGGCAGTAGAGAAGTCCAAGATTTCCATAGCCTTGAAAGTAACAGTTTTACTTATTGTTGTTCACCATATAATATTTAATTATTATTTTATTATATAATAAAAAAGAATATTGTTAAATAGTGTAGTAGAATTGTTATAAAATATTATAATACCAAAATAGTAATGACATTTAATGCAGTTGACTTTTCTGGATAGTAAATGTAGTAAATAGAATATCCTTTTATATAGTATAATACGGAAATAGTAATGCAATAAATGTTGTTGACTTTTCTGGCTACTTAATTTGGTAAATAGTACCCCTTTAATATAAGTATAGATATTTAAAAAAAAATTAAGACTTTTAAAAAATTATATTATTAAAATTCTAAAAAAATTTAATTTGGAGATAATATTTGACTTTTATATTATTTTATCTTTGGAAATTGGAATATCAATAAATTGTTTAAGAAAAGAAAAATCCTTTTCTTCGTAAACAGTTATAAGAATAACCAGAAAAGAGAAAAAATCGCAGTAGGGGTTGGCCGGAGATTATTGTCTCGCCGTGTCCGGGTACATAACCAGAGCCGGCGATGGAGAACCGTGCGATTCTCAGGGAGTGGTTCGACCGAGTTGACTCTCAGAAAACGGGAAGCATAACTGCAAATCAGCTCAAGGTTTCAATTTTTTCAATTTATTCAACCCATTGTTGAATCAAACCAAGAATGTCTACTCATATGTGGCATCAAAATTTTCCGATGATCAGAGTGCTTTTGCCGCCGGAAACCTTCAGTTTCCAATTTCCGTTGTTCAGCAAATGGTGAGGTGAGGTTTGTGCGCTTCCTCCCGAGTTTCTGGAATTTTGTTGTAGAGTATTGATAATTTTGCTATTCAGGATGTACGATTTCGACAGAAATGGAACTATGAGCTTTGAAGGTGAGTTATTTTGGTGAATCTCCACATTTTGTTATGTACCTGCAAGTTTTGTATCGCGGGCTAGGTTGGTATTGGCTAATGGCCTAATGGGTTGATTTCTTTTCCAGAATTTGTTGAGCTTAACAAGTTCCTTCTCAAGGTTAGTACACAACAAGTTAGTTCCTTTTGCTGTGTTTGTGTAAAGAGTATATTGGGAGATAAATATGACTTGTTTGAGCCCTTCCTGTTTCATCTCGTTCTGAAGTTTTCTAGCTGTATTTGAGCTGCTAGTTTGTGGTACTTGTCAGAATAACCGAACATTACACATTGAGAGGCTATGTTGTGAAGTAGTGCGAGGCCGCTTCTGTTTGATTTTCTTAAACTTTGGTTGAATTTGTGAAATCATTAGCTTGAATACAACAAAAACTGGTTCAACTTGCTGCACTACATAATTGTAATGTTGCCTTGCTTGCAGGTTCAACAGGCGTTTTCAGGCTTGGAGAGGTAGTATGTTGTTTTATGAAATTTCCCTTGTGATATGCAGTGTATATTCTCAGGCCTGAATAGAGGCTATTGTTAGACTTATGACATGCTTAGCTAATATAAACTATCTATAGTATCATTGTGTATAAAGAGTTGATAGTATGTATATCTGTAATAACAAAACTGAAAATATTCTGCTTGTACAGTTTATTGGTTGTTTTATCGTTGGTTGCTATTAGCAGTTACAAATTATAGGGCTATCTGTTATATTTTTACTTTTATTTTGGAATAGGGGACGCAGGTTTCTTGTTCCAGATGAAGCATACGAGGTATAAGCTCTGAATTATTTTTAACGTTCTCTTAGTTTTGAGCATGCAACATTGTAAAAATTTAAAGGCTTCCCACTAATATATGTCTGATATTTTCCTCTCCATTCTTTATCAAATTTTATTCTTTTGATTGAGATAGGCATTGGTGAATATTGGATTCTGTCTTGACTCTCCAGCTTTTTATACTGCTTGTGAGGTATATGAATGGGAAGTATATAGTATATACTTCAATCTTCATGGTCTAAAGTTGGCCTGTTGAAACTGACTGTTCCCTCTTGATAATCATGTAGAAATTTGATCAATCAGGGAACGGCAAACTCAAACTTGACGATTTCATATCTCTTTGTATATTTGTGCAGTCTGCAAGGTCCTTATACTTGTAATCTTGATATTGTTGCTTATATTGCGTGTTTTTTGGGTCGATGATGCTCGATTTTTTATTTTATTATTGTTTCTTTCTGATAGAACCAATCGCATCTTGATCTCTTTTTCAGGAACCTGTTTAATTCATTTGATACAAGCAAACAAGGCAGGGTGACTCTTGATTTCAACCAGTTTGTATATTGCAGTAAGTAAAGCAACTTGGTTTTCTGCTTTAACGCTTGGATTCACTCTACCTGCAATTGCCAATAAGTCAATACGGTTTAAAAGAGCAGTATCATTTTTCATTGCTAAAAGATTCGACCTATAATTATCAATGGAAGTACCTAAGATTAACCATTAAGGCTATGTTTGGTAAACTTAGCATCAGCTAGTTTATAGCTTTTAATTTAATTTCGAGCTTATAGTTGATAGCTTATGACTTATGGCTGGCTGAAAAACTAACTGATATGATATGATAAAAGTGTTTGGTAAAACTAACTCAAATAAAAATTTCATTGGGCTTATTTGAAAAGCTATCCAAGAAAGCTTATGAGATAAGCTCGAGTTTTTTTGAAAAAAGATGTCCTATCAAACCAAACTTATTTGAATACAGGAAACTTTTAAGCTAATCAAATAAGCTAATCAAATAAGTTATACGTTAACTTATATATTTATCAAACAGTTTAAACCTCTCTCTCTTCGATTTAAAGTTTAAACCTCTCTCTCTCTCTCTCCAGCTTCAAATTGCAGAATATGACAGTAGGAGACTCGATCACGATCCCTTGATGTGATCTATTGCTCGTCTAAGTTTTTTATGTCGTAAGCAGTTCTGAATTGTCTCTCGTCTCGTGATCTATTGCTCGTCTAAGTTTTTTCTGTTGTAACTTGTAAGCAATAATGAATTGTAATTGCATATCGGTGTTGAATGTTGAATGAATGCACTTATTAGAAACAGGAAATCCACCAAAGATATGGTGGGATCATTGTTAACAAGAAAATGTACTTGATAATGACGTAATATTGCCAAGTGCAATCTACTTGTATTTCTGCAAAACATTAAAATAACAAATGATTATGATCATTATGCTAATTAAATTTTAGTGCTTCTTCTATTAGTGAAGTTTCTAGAAAAAAAAAATATATCAATCGGCGCAATGCACCTTGGGTCGCTATGGAAACAGCCTCCTTGTATAATTACAAGGGTAAGGTCTGCGTACAACTGACTCCCCAGACCTCAACTTGTTGGGAATATACTGGGTATGTTGTTGTTGTTGTATGATAACGGACAAGTTGAAGAAATTTTGCAAGGGGGATGTATACGTGTATGAATTATATTATTATTATTCTACTTGTAAAGTTGTAATGATGTAATCTGCCATGTGACTGGTTTCCATAACTGAAAATGGACTACTATTTAATTAATATGCTTCCTCTTTGTGTGAGCTATTATTATCTATCATATATGGGTCAGATTTTATTTTTATCTAACATTATCTGCCTTAATCCTTATCCAACTCGTTTAACATTAATCTATTACTAACTTTAGAAATAGAGTAGGTGAGATATGGGGAATTTCCTTTCCCTTGTCCATGGAATTTTATTTGCCAATTTTATATACCCCAGGCATAGTAGAACCATGATGAAAATGACTTGATGAAACTCAAATAATGGATCCTAAATACTAAATACACATGGGTGAGCGAAACCAAGACAAAACCAAAAAATCAAGCTACACCGTGCAATTCATGCAGTTC